TGGGGGAAACTGTGGTCAAATCTTCTATTTTTGGAAGCCTTCCATTTTTGGAAGGACCTTCCATAAATGGGTATGCATTTTCCAAAAATGGAAGGCTTCCAAAATTGGAAGGTCTAATCTCAGTGTTCCCAACTGTGATTCACATTCTTTGATTTAAGTTACGGCCTTTTTAAATGTGTAACATTAATAGTTGATTTTGCCATTTATGATCATTGATATAAGGAGAAGCAGCAGTGCTAGTGTTGGTAATACAGGCATGCTATGTCAATGTACATAGTGATATAATAGCATGGTGTCCTGGCGCACTGCTCTCTTTTTCTACTTCTAGAGGACACATAGAAATTCAGAAGAGAAAACAGCTGGTCAATAACCAACCAGGAGGAACACAGCTATAGCCCTGACAAAAAATGGTTTAAATTAAACTAACTATTCCTCATATAAATTGAAGATTCATGCTCCTTCGATAGAAAGTAACACGAAAAACGGCGCAGCAACGCCTATTTAATTCGTCTCATATTCCGGAAAAAACATTGAAAAATGACGAGACCTCCACCCAAATGTTTGGCAAAAGCCTTAAAAAATTGAAATCAACCACACAATATGCTAATAAATGCAGAAAACGGCAACAAATACAAGTTTTACTCGCCACTACACTCCCGAAACCGCCGCACTCTGTCCAGACAATTCCGCACTGTAAATAAAGTCGGCGGTATCGAACAAGCATGGCCCGTCACTAAAGTACTTTTAAGGATATTTACTTTTCGTTTTTGATGCTTTTTGCTTACAAAATGTTTGATAAAGTCTTATAAAACCATCGTTTGTCGGTAAATTTTTGTCAATTTTCCACGACTCATTACTTTAAAAAATTACCTAAAATACATCCACGCTAGGATTTAGGCATCCACGCTAGATTATGGACACTTCACTATGGCGAATAGAAAGCGACCAGGGGCGATAGTCGCATTTGCCTCATGTTCGGCGGAAATCGGTAAGTTCCAACATATGCGCAACATTTTCTATATTTGGGTACGATGACGTCGTCAGCGTACCCATTTTTGGAAGGTGCGTACCCATATATAGAAAATCCTTCCAAAAATGGAAGGCTTTCTAAAAATGGAAGATTTGACCACAGTTTCCCCGACTGATATACCGTATAAATTGTACTTCGTATAAATAAACAACGAATATAAAGGAAACGTATTGTCTTCAAAATGTCACAACTCATTTTTAAACTAAAATTTAACATTGTATACAATGTTTTTGTTTGCATGTGTCTCGATAAACAACGTTCAATGCTATAAGTAGTTTCAAAAATACAGCTGCTACGACATACATCATTTTCAATGCTCAAAATACCCATCCCCTCATACCCATCCACTCATTACTTTAACCCTCGCGGGCCCGGGGGGGGGGGCGTTTTTCGCCCCCCCTGGCGAATATTTGCGATAGCTCCCGAACGCTTAGGGATAGGAAGGCGAAACTTTCAGTACCTTTTCTCCCATCAATTTGACATCTTCTGAAGTAAAAAATTTGGACCTAGCCCCCTGGATGACGTCACAAGGTCCATTTTTCTAGACCCCTGCACGGCAAACTTCGGCGTCACAGACGCAAACTTCAAATAGCTGCTAAAAATAGAGTTTTAGAGATAAAGACAAATTACGAGCACGGCTGTGTAGCGTTTGACCTAGAGAAAAATAGAAAAATAGTTTTGGTGACCTGAGGTCAGAGGTCAGGTCAACGACCCCGAAATGTGGTTTTAGTTTTTCGCAAATAACTTCGACAAAAATGGTCCTAGAGCTACGGCAGTGGTACCATCGCATTCGCCTTGTCAAGCCGCGTCGAATGATATATATTTTGTTCGGAAAAGGTCAAATTTTATGTTGACCTCATGTGACCTCGAATGACCTCTGGTTGACCTTGACACATGAAAGGTCGTTTATGAAGGATTTGTACCCGCTGATCACGAATCTGGCATCTATTTTCCTCTAAGCCTTCATTTAGAGCTTCCGGATTGCACAATTGTCTTATTTATTATTACTAACTTGAATCAGTGAAATAGCCTCTAGCAGGGATACTCTTCTGTGACCTTGACCTTTGAGCAGCCTTGTATCGTAAGATGAACCACAAATAGGGAACTGATCAGCCTCAAAACATTTCAAAACATCTTGGAAGTTAGCACGCAAGATATGCGAAAAAGTGCCAAGTTAAAGGTCAATTTTGAGCGTGACCTTGACCTTGACCTTTCACTTTGAGCACATTTTCAGAATCCTGAGATTCTCTTCTTTCGTTTGACAGCCAATTTTGCCGGTTTGATGCAGCCTGCCGTCCTCTAGAAGGATTACTTTGAGATCACTACACATGTGGCGGTTTTTGCCTTTGACCTTGACCTCTGACCTTGAAAATTGACCTGAGGTCAAAAATTTTAGGTGCATTAGAATCGTCTCGTAAGGACCTTTCGTTTGGTATCGCTTTTGTTTCCGTAGCTCCCTTATTTACGGAGTTAGACAGGGGGGGCGAAAAACGCCCCCCCCCGGGCTGCGGTGGTTGGGATTACCCCCCGGGCCCGGCCGGGTTAAGTCACCTGTAGTATTTTTTAGGTTGGAGGTCAACAACAGCCGGGTTACCGGGATTTAAGTGGAGCGAAGACCTCGGTATTTATACCGAGGTTTATGTAGGTATGCATAGGTCGGTATATGCCTACCTATAGAGATACCTGCGTGGAAAAATATCCAGGGTGCCTGTAAATATCGATTTCCAATGAGTTTACGACAGATCTTATTCCGTGACGAGATATCAACGATATAGTAGTTAGTCCTCTCTTTGACAGGTATTTATAGCGGTGTGCGAAAGTTTTATTTTCCACCAAACAAAAGCAACAAACCGAACTAATGTCACGCACGATAAAGGTGAGCTAAATAGCTCCGGCTGTAATTAGCCCCGAGCAGAGATCGAGGTCATCTGGCGGGATGTAATGCGCGTGCCGCTCTTCCCCAGCGTCATCACGCAGAATTGCCGCCGCTTTCGCCCGCTTAAAATACCGTCGCCGCTGCGGTCTGGCGCCTGCGGTATCGCGCGCGCAACCGCGCCGCTCAGCCTGGGACCGCTGCGGTGGCAGGCGCCGAAATGACGCGCGCAATGCGGCCGGCCGCACGGAGCGAGATACGACCGCGCCCCATGCGCGTGAGAATGACCGGCTGCCGCAGCGCGGCCGTCCACACCCACCGGATACCGACGGCGGCCTCCCAGAGCGGGGCGCGAGCTCGGTAGGAGTTCTGAACACTCCTCCCGAGATTTCGAACTGTCAAGCTTCCCCACTATTCCCTAATGACCGCAGCGAAGATGACTGATCCCGGAAACTCACATTCGACCCTAATGTTAACCTCTGACGACATTTAAAGGGCGCCAGCAATACTGCGCACTGGGGCTGGTAAACCTTTGAACCTTCGTCCCCCAAGCAGCTCTAATTTCTCACACAGCCCCGATATGTTCTTGAACATACCCCGAAATTATTTCGAGGCGATCCCAGCCGTTTTGAGGCGCCACCGCCGACAACATTTGAAGCCTGAAGGGTGCTGGCAACTACTTCGCACAACGGTTGGCAATTCTTCGAACCATTATGCTTAGCCTCGTCGAGCAGCTTTGATTTCTCACCCAGCCCCGATGTCTTCGTGCACCTATCCTCGTAACGATCTGAGACGATCCCAGCCGTTTTGAGGCATCACCGCCGACGCATCAGTCGGTCTCTCAGACCTTGACACTGCGGAACAGCGAGCGAGCTACCGGCGGCCGGAAGCTTCTTTTGATGTAAAGAAACCGCCACCGTCACGGTAGCTACCGTGACGGTCACACTCCTCCCCTCCCTCCCCTCAGAGACGTGGCGACGGCTACCGTCAGCTTGCGTCAGCAAAAGCAGCGCAGCTGCGACGACCGCATGAGGTTTGTGATGTGGTGTGACAACTGACACACAGGTCATGGCCCGCTGACATTGGCTGAATACTGAATAGCCAAGGGTCAACGGCACGTAAAAAGAGAAACGAGAAAAATACGTAGAAAACTGTGAAATATTTTAGTATGTGAGAAAATTGTGTCACGACTCACGAGCCATGCCTTTGTCAAATATAAATGTCAGAAATGTGACTCATCCCATTCCAGATAGGTACTCTTGGGGCTCATTTTTTAAGCTAGGACGCTTTGAAGTGTCGTACTGATAGGAATGAGAGTAGGCAAGACTGTGAATCTAAGGAAAAGCTTATTCGAAAAATCATAAACGAAGGCAAGCAATGCAATTAGCACTGTCAGCAAGAATATGCTAAGAGTGCCACAACAGCTTGCATGCATCGCAACCGATGCACCAAAACAGCTGCACCTTATTTGAGCGCGCATGATCTATTTTTGGCATCGGTTTCACCGAGCAGTCATCACGTAAGCCCGTCAGCCACGGGCCCGAGTGGAGCCCACCTCACCACCAGTCGACCCAGATTCCAGCTACTGTTCCTGACATTGACCGGCAGGTCAAATGGCGCAGCACCCTCCGCCAGGAAGCGCTCCCCGACCGCCTAATTGTGAGAATCCGGCAGCGACGAGGCAGGGCTACGTTTCACTAGCGCAGACTGACCCACAGACGCACGCGCATAATCAAGTGCTAGTTGACTGGGGCAAGTGAAAACGTGATTTAATTAAGGGTCAGGCTAGAAAGGGAATGTTGATGAGTTGAATGTGCGTGGTTATGGAATGACTGTTATTTGTTACCATGAATGGGTCGCTAGCAAAAATGAATTGTTGAAAATTGCAATAATCTGCAGAATGAGTAATAAGAAACAATGGACGCTCAGAAAGAAATGGGCAGTAGCCAGTAGGTAAGCAGCAGCCGTCCCAACTCCCAATCAATAGACGCGGCTTCGGGCTTACAGGCATCGTGATTCGTGACCGCCGTTACCTGGCAGGCTGACATTCGGCCCGCTCGCTGTGACACAGCCGTTCTCCCGGCAAGTAACACTCACATGTGTTTGTGGCAGACAGCACAGACCCAGTCGCGGCCATTCTCGGTGTATTCGCGGCAGTTCTTGCAGACCCGCATGCGGCACGCGCGACAGGGTGCGCCTCTGTTGATGATACGCCCCAGCTCGGTGCGGCAGCGGGCGCATGTTCGACTGCTCTCCAGGCCGACACGCAGCGCGCCCTTGCGGCGCAACTGCTGAAGCTCAGCTTTCAGCCGGCTGGAAAAGATGTCAGCACGTTAGCGGGTCGGTCGGCAGCGGACAACGGGCGAGTGCACTTGCAGGTTAGGGAGGCACTAGGGAGGCACGTCGCTGAGACTGAGAAGATGCAAAACGGTTAGACGGCGGGATGGGTGGCTGCAGGGGCCGTTAGCGTCATTAGGGTTCCGGCAGTGAGCAGTGGTGAGGTAATGAGTACACCTGCATCTTAGAGCCGCAGGCAATGGCACCGCTATATGACCTGTGAATGCATTCAGGTGCACAGCCGCCACAGCAAGAACGAGCGGTTTGTGCACGTGAGGGGTACATACCTACCCATGTGTTAAAAAAAGTATAATTGGCTGAAAACTGCTATCGCGATAGTATACGCCTTGGTCCGGAAAATGTGTAGGTACCAGAGGCAGACTCCTACATACTCAGTCGTTTAAAATTGTTAACGTCCTAAAAAATATTCATCACCTGCTAATTTTCACCCATTTCACGCCTGGCAATTGCCGATACGGCGATGTCATTAGGATGATACAGGATAAACTATACATTCTGTAATAGTGTATTCTGTCACCATTGTATATCGAGCTCAGACGTTCGTTTTTCAGCTGTTTACGAACGGAAGTGCTGTTTTATCCTTTTAATTTTTATCACACGAACCAAATTCACTTGACCTCAAGTTTGCCTCCGAGGCCCGGGCATGAAGCCGACTGTTTGTTTTATCTGACGATGAGAAGCTGAGAAGCTATATGACACATCCTTGCGAAACTTCTTTTTGTTGTGATTTTCCCAACGTCAAAGTCAACAAATCATTGCGCGGCAGCGTAAACAAGACCTCTCAGATAAGAAATGTGAAAGGCTGGGGGAACATCATCACTCAGGCTGTGTCACTGTACAAGCTGGCTGATAGGACTCGTAGAAGTCTTGCAAGCATGAGTTACAATCACATCAGTGCTGTTTTCAAATTAAGTGCCCACCAACGGTTATCTGCATGAGCCAGCTGAGAAATAATAAACAGGGGCGACAATTATCACGCTTTCACTTCGTGATTGCACCATCCTGCTCCTCTATTTAAAAAGTGAGATAAGGAGTGTTCAAGCAACCCAAATCATTAAATCCAGACCGTTTATGCATTGCACAAGCACTAAATGTAGCACAAGGATCGCTGATCGGGCGGTTTCCTGGTTAGATTACCATCTTAGTGCAGTGAGCCCGTTGTGAACAATGAAGGACTTGAGACTGCAAATTTAAAGGACAATCATAAAGTTAATTATGCACGGAAGCTGAAAAACATCCTCAGGTGTCAAAGGTAAAGTGTCAATGATACATGGTCAATGGTCAGATCATTCCATGATCAACGGTCAGAGTATCAGTGGTCCACTCCATGTGGTCATTCATTTATCATCAAAACACTTCTGGCAACAGGTCATGGACGCTCCCGTGGCGATCGGCGGAACTAAGCACGCTGTGGGAAGATCGCACGGTCAATTTGACAGGGACATTACTTACCGCAATGCCACACAAATCAGCCGGACAGCATGGTACACATTACCCAGGCGTCAAGACGGTAGCTGCAAATCCAGAGGCTGTTTTTTTTAATGATTGTATTTATTATCTATCTTAAGTGAAACCAATACCATACTTCATATTCAGCCTTCAGAGCAAGCCAACCACTTTTCGGGCACCCTAGAAGTTCAAACCTATTTGGTTTCTTTCCGGTCGGAGACAGGTTGCCACAACTCCCCTAAACCTATATTTTCCAGCACTGAATTGTTGCCTAGCTGGCAGGGGGCCGACCAGTAATTTGCCGTTGAATGGTTTTCAACAGTGGTCAGTTCTAACCATGGGAACTCTCCAGTCTAGTTTCCGAGTGGGGTTGCGCAATTCGGTCATGAGTTGAACTGAGGTCCCAATTGACCTCGGGCTCTGAGTATACTCAGAGCCCGAGGCCAATTGGGACCTCAGTTCTATATAGTAAATGTAGTCGACCGCAGGCCAGCGTCTGTGAATTCAGCCACCCTCTCTCCCTCTCTCTCTCTCCCTCTCTCTCTCTCTCTCTCTCTCTCTCTCTCTCTCTTTCTCTCTCTCTCTCCCGACCTCTCTCCTCAAACTGTGACTGGTACCATGGGGAGAGGAAGCGAGAGGGCGATGGTAAAGAGCAGCCAATAGACTCGAACACAGAACCTCGGGCGCCAGTCGTGTCTGGCCGGGGGCAGGAGACCGTGGGGGTCACAGGTCGTGATGGATGCACATTGTTGTTTTCCGCCTCCACAACAGACTTATCGGTCCATCAGAGACAGGGGCAGACAGACGGGGACGGGGAAGAGGACGGGGGTGGAAGGCAGGCAGGCGCCAGCGGAGGCAGAGAGGAACTTGAGAGGAAAAGCTGAACTTTGAGCCGCAGTGACCAAGGGAAAATATCGCCGAGTTCACAAGTAAAAAGGATCCGACAGGCAACATACAAATACCTACCTAAGCGACAGATTTTAAACGGTTCCATAAACTTGACTGTCTTCATAAGCCATGCGTGGAACAGCCAATCAAGTCTTCAACTGAGTGTGTGTGCGCTTCTGCTGCGGTAAGCTCAAGGTATAACTCCAGGTAAAGGACACTAAGATCCACCTACTTCAATACACCTCCATTCCTGGTTTATACACCATCTTTCGAACATCTCTCGCCACCGGCGGTCATTAGGAGTCGTCGGGCAAACGCCGGCCTCAGGAGACCCAGGAATGAGGAATAAGGAATGAGAAGCGTAATACCATTTCAGGAATGACGACCGAGATCGGATCAGTTCCATTTGAATCTTCCGAGACGTGACTCGACTGATGATGAGGCTCGTGTCTGATGGTGTGACCTGACCACAGGGTCACTATACTGGCGGGAGGGTACAAATCAGACAATTCTGACCAGTGACCACACGCGAGGGCGGCATTGGCGGACTTGGCAGAGGGTCTCCCATACCAATAAGAGTTGGAGCCACCGTACCAAAAGAGAAGAGACCATTACTGATAACCCACCAGTGACCAGGTCTGACCACACACGGCGGCGGAAAACTTGGTGACAGCTAGGAGCATCCACACGTGAACAGACAGGAGCCAGACTCTGCAGTCTGCATTACGTACCAAATGAAGCTCTCCAGACCATGCGCCAACCACTGAACACGTCAGCATAAGCTAGCCCATACACGGCATGGTTATGTTACCGTAGCTCAGAACAGCGCTGAGCGGGTTCTAAACCATGACACGGACCCGGACCTTGTGGACAGGGTATCGGGGTGTGGTGAGCGATTAACTTTATCGCGTCTAACGATCAATCTGAAATTACAATAATGAGAAAACACCAAACCGGGCGAATGACGATTATCCAGCGCGAATTCAACAGGTCAGGAGACAGGAATAAATACAGATGCATTATATCTTAAAAGCATTAAAAGCAGGCTGCATGTTTTAAGCATTGATACAGTGAATCAACTTTTTCATAGTTAACCCCTCGCCCGGGCCTGCTTCTGCATGCCCAGCATGCCCAGCAAATTGGGAGCTCAGGTCATCAAGCCTGACCTGACCGTTATACGTGCTCTATGTTTGTGCTTCCCCACGCGTCAACTGGTAACTCACCTCTGAACTACTCCCCTCTATTCCTACTTCCTCTCTTCTCTGAGTTATCTCAGACAAAGTCACGGTGAAGCTATGAATAAACCATGTCGTGGTGAGAGCCCTCCTGGCGTGGCACCCCAGGTCGTTTCAGTGAGGCGCAAACACCAACAGTTGGGTACAGCCCACACCCCGTGGCCCAGTTGGCCACGCATAGGGCCACGCATATTCTGACTCTTGGCACATAAGATTCATGAGGCATGGTCTAACTGAAGGCAGACAGAACTGACCTCTTACACGGCCCTGAGTCAAATCAATGCCTGATGGCGTCTAATGCGAAACTTTCCCTGATCCAGCTTCACTGGTTGCTCGGCTACCACTGACACAGAAAATAGAGCTCCTCCGGCATCTCCAGCACCAAACAAGGCACGTGTTCCGAGAGCTAACCGCCTTCGAAGGACGCCGTGAGGTGTGTACTAAACATAACTTGACTCAGGTCAGTGAACGGAAGGAGGGCAAGTCCTTGGAGACCCACGGTTCAGTGGCAAAGACACACCCTCGCTGTTGACACCGACAGTCTCGGAAGACTTGGAACAGCGCCGACACTGTTCTCGCGATCATTTTCACACAGCCGCCTGATCCAAATCCATGTGGACACACTCTCAAGAAGGGAGTCTCCCGTGGCTCTCTTCACCACGCGGAAGCCCCACGCCCAGCCGCCTCAACGAACTCCGACACTCAAGACGACTTCTCAACACTGGAGGAATTCAAAACTCTTCGGGATCACCGACCGGTCGGAGTGGCTGAACAAACGGGCGGCGTCCCACAGACTCCATCGGACACCCCACGCGAGCAGAGCGCGACCAGTGACCGGCAGATCCTCGCGACTGCATACTGCATACCGATCCGGTATGCAGATTGCGTTCGTCTCCGAACGGTTTAGCGTTGCGCCGGCTGGGCAAGTCGTCGGCTTCCCGCGGCGATCGTCTCATCCGCACCGCAACACGCCGCGGTGGCCGAGGGTGTATTTTAGCCGAGCTTCATTCTGATCCGCTTGAGGCAACATTGAGCCGCGCGTGGCCCAGCCGGGCTCACCGGGACTAAATGAGCAGGTCGCTCACGCTCAGCCGCTATACACGTGCAGCGAACAGCGGGCGAGCGACGAGCAGCATACAGCGTGAGGTGGGCAGTGGCCGGCAACGATAGACCGAAGCGGCCCGTTCCACGCGATTGAACACCAAGTTCATGCAGCTGCAGCTGGACGATCCGTGTGCCATGCACGACCTCTTCGGTCACCAACGGTCACCTGCATGCCAACCGGAGTGGTCACAGGTCACTCAGCGGTTTCCAGGTCACTTATCTTTGCCGGTGGTCACAAACAAGTCATTCTATCCGGCCAGTGGTCAGCTTCCCATCCAG